CTGTAGAGGGCAGTGTCACTGGCCCTCATATGTGGGATCCGAACCGGGGCCCTCTGGCATCCCAAGCGAGTTCTTAACCATCGCGCCACTCGGCTGGCCCTGGAACCCTCCATTTTAATGAAAACTTAAACACAACCTAAATGAAAACAGGTGAAAATGCAGCTGCTGTGTTGAAGCAGACCTTAGGATTGAGAGCTCTTGCAAACATCCCCCATCTCTAGGCGGTGGAACCCCTGAAACACCACCCCAGTCTGAGTTCACTTTGAAACCACTTATTAGCAGAACAGGAAAGTTTGTTGTATCAGCAAGCTGAAATTCAAGAGTAAGTCTTAATGTAATTGTTAAACTCTTTATTATCTAATCAAATCAACTAATTTTCTGTAGACGTTTTCTTTCCTTGTAGACACAGCCCATGAGTTACCCCAGGTTTGGTTCAACTCATGCCACGAGGAAGTGATTTTCTCTGTTAGGGGAAGATTTGCTGACACTTTTTACTCTCCAGCTTTGATAACTGTCTGATGTAAATGTCTGGAATATAATACTTTATACTAATTTCAATAGGTTCAACAATGGATGGATGATTAAAATTGGAAGGGGACTAGATTACTTCAAGAAACCACAGGTAGGACTGCACTGTACACCTGAAGCTGAAGCTGAATAATATTGTATGTCACCTATAATATATATAGTCACAGGATATGGAGTATATATAGGGAATAGAGTCAATGGAATTGTAATAGATATATATGATGTCAGAGGGGCAACAGATTAGAGGAGGGGGGTTATCGCTTTGTGAGGGGTGAAATGTGTAACTATTACTTTGTTTTATATACCTGAAATTAATTTAAAAAAGAAAAAGAAAGAAACCATAGGTAGGCTATAGCTTTATAAGTGGGTAGCACTCTTTTTGTATCATTTTAACACCATGGCTTTGGTCCTTATTGTTAAAAAAACTTTTCTTCTCTTTTTAGGGTCATTTTTCCCTCGGATATTGTGATTTTGATTTAAGACCATGCCATGAAACAACAGTGGACATTTTTCATAACAAGCACACAAAAAAAATATGATGGACAGTATAATAGCTCAATTTACAGTGTATATTTATATTTTAAGTGAATATTGGAATTTTTTTACTTTGGACAGATCATTCCTATAATTGTGAATTTAACAATAAACTTGTACATTTCTACTAATTTATGGATCCATTGTTCAGTTGTGTGATCAGTACTAAATTTTTGTAAATATATTACTTAGTAGATTTACAGTGTTTCAAGTCATACGGTTAATTTAAACATTTTTCCAGCTTTTCTCTTATTTGGCTATTGAAGAGTGAACCAACAAATAATGAGCACCTATTATAAAGATTAATTGGATGTTAATATTGTCTCTGGGAGGGCCGGTCGAGTGGCACGTTGGTTAAGAGCTGGCTT